TTAGATTGCATTCCTAAAGCTGTCCACCAAGATCTATTCCCTTATTCGGTCACTTCTGAAGCTGACCACCAAGGTCCGGCTATCAAAGTATTGAAGTTCAGCAATCAAAAGCCCCCTTTTGGCTCACTTAATTAATGTGCTCAATCAAAATTAACCAACATATCCTAACACTGATTTTCCCCCTTTCCTTATACAAACTGCCATTTGCTTAAGGTCGCATCTATCTCCTCTCTGTCCAGAGGCGGTCCTTTGTCTCTCTGGGGCAAACATCCCTTCCCCTCCTCCCTTGTCCTCTTTTCCTTCATCCTCTATCTCTTGTCTTTGTCTCTTATTCCCACTCTTTGTCCGTCTGGGGCAAATAAATCCTTATGCTGAGAACTTGGTCTTGGGGGTGTCCTGTGCTGACTTTGAGGTCCTTTCAGAGAGACCCTGTTGTAAATAAACAAAGGACTGACTAGACTATCCAATTCTTGTTGCTTGATTCTTCCATAGTCTGTTCAAACAGTTACAGGACATGTGCATTAAGGGCGCCTAATGTACTTTTCTCTACAAATTTGAGATCCTCTGCCTCAGCCTCCCAAGACCTGGGAATATAAATATGTACCATCATACCTGGACCACCGTGAGTCTTCGTGTGCATGTGAACATGAGTTCAGGTGCTTTTGGAGGCTTGAGGCCTTAGAGGTGATTGTGAGCAGCCTGATGTAGATGCTAGAAACTGAACTCTGGGTGTGCCCCAGTTCGCACTCTTATCCACTCACTGAGGCAGCATCTCTCTATCTTTCTTCTACTGAGTCTCCTGGCCCCAGTACTGGGGATCTGAGATTTCAGGCCAGTACCACCAGCCCCCCACTCCACTGTGGGTCTTCAAGAAAGCAGTAGGTGATGCCTCTAGGGACTTCCAACCAGGGAAGCAGGAAGGAGGCAGCCGCCCAACCCACCCCCATAAGCCTTAACCTGAAGGAAAAACAAATGGGTCCTTTGGCCTGTGGGCGGGGAGGGGTGGGGCGGAAGGGGCCTTTGTTTGCCAGGAGTTTTGAAGGTTGGCTAGAGACCAGGCCTTGAGTATTACCTGGACCTTCCATTGCTAGTGATGGCTCCTAGATGGGGCTGCCCAGGGTCTGGGTGGGAATGGGTAGGGAACTAGGCAGCTTTGGCAGACCCCTGAAAAGACCTTTCCATCTGGGTCAGTCTGTCTCTGGCAGGCTCCTGCTAGCGGAAGATGGAAACTCACAGGGTTCCACCTTGGGATTTGACCTTTAACCTAATCCAAGGCTCCAAGAGGATTCTGGGTTTAAACTTCACTTCTGCAGTCCTTGGCTGTGTAACCCTAGGTGTTTTCTCTTACCTGGAGGAATTAGTTTATATGCAAAGAGTTAAAAGGAAGATGAAATGTGAAAATGCTTCTAGAATGTTCCTGGAGAGAATTAGTTTGATAAAGGTACTGAAATAACCCCTGGACCTCTGAGCAGGTAGTGCATAGCATTCACAGGATGACCTATACACAGAACAAATTTCCTCATAATTCTATCAAGCAGATACTATGGCTATTCTCATTTTATAGGCAGGAAAACTGAAGTTCACACAGGTTCAACAACTTGCCCACAGTGAATGCCACTTGCTTCTCAGCTATTAAATTTACCAAGGGCTGCAATGCTGTTAAGGGCTAGACACGGAGCTGGGGTCCTCACCTCTTTGTGGTGGTACCCAAGTCTAAGGGTCAGTTTCAGAGAGTTGATCCAGACCTTGCTCTCCAGGCTGCATAGCTTTGGGGGCTCAGCCACCCATGGCTGAGGGACATGGGACATCCAAAGCTGGCTGATGGCTGCAACCTGGCTCCTCATCTGTCTATCCCAACCTCTCCTGACAGCGGAGGAGGTCAGGAAGGTCTTTTGTTTATTTCCTCCTGTCCCTTTGAGCCAGATGGGTTTCAGAGGGAGGTAATCCTTCTGTCCCAAGGCAGACCCATGTCTGTCACCCTTGCCTGGCATAGACTCTAGTCTCCAGGCATTCTCAGAACACATGTTCTTAGGGGAGCAGTACTCAGGAACCCTAATTTTCAAGCCCTTGGAAGGGCTCTTCCAGCATGAGGAACCTTTGTGCTCATGGGATGCTCAGCTACACTCAGGGTCTCAGGGCCTCACATTTACCTGTGGATTTTCCAGGATCCTCTTTGCAATGAAGAAGTGTCCAAGCAGAGTATCCTCAAACCCTCTGTTTCTGCTGACTCATAGAACCCTGTACCTATATAAAACTGGCCAAGGGGTTCTTTTCCTGCCTCTGTGTCTACCTAAGTCTTGGGGTGACAGTGAGGATGCCACCTTTGAACTAGGAATCTAGGGAGCAATAATTATCATGGCCACCCTCAGGGTAAACAATGGCAAAGACTATCTGGACCCAGCCACAAAAGGGGGCACAAAGGGACAGCCAGAATTAAATGGGTGACAAGATGGGGCTTTCCACGCCCACAGCATGCCATTTGGGGTTAGCATGAGTGATCTGGGTGGTTGGTTATTGGCTTTTAGAGAAAATCTTTAGGGGAGAGGGCATGAGCATGTTTCTTCGAGGTTTCCTGTCCACATTCAGGGGTGTCTTTTAGAAGTCTCCTTTCTCCTTAGAGTAGGGCAATGGAAAGTGTGCATGTCCAGGGGTCACAATGGCAGGCCAGACCCATATGCTTTTCCAGTGAAGACACACAAGGAGGTCACTGATAGGTGGGGCCCAAGGACATCCCAAACATGTGACATGCTAAGGGCTGGTGGTGAGAAAGATGGTCCACATCCAAGCTCATTATACCAGTTCTCCCCAGTCTTGAGAATTCGTGGAGACATAGTCATCACTACTATGAGCCTAACATGAACCCCATTCTCTTTATGGAAGACACAAGGCCTCTACAGTTTCTGTCCACAGTTAATATGGGGAGAGGACTTAGAGGGGCCATCATTGGCAGACAAGAGGAGATGGTCACACAGACAAGGACCAGTAAGATCTAAAGATCAAAAGAGAACTCTAAGGCCTGGTGACTGTGGCACAAGACTTTAATCTCAGCACTAGGGAGGCAGAGGCAGGAGGCTCTCTGAATTTGAGGCTAGCCTGGTCTACACAGAGAAATCCTATCTCAAGAAATGAGAGAGAGAGAGAACAGTAGTTGATTCCAGCCTTTTTTTGCTCATCTTCCTTAGTGGTCAAATGGGGGGCAGGAAGATGTATGACACTATTCAAGGCAGGTGGCACCTTTTGGAAAGGAAGGGTATGTGGACTTTGTAAGGCAGACCAAGCCTGAGCACATGGGCTGGCCACCAAGGCCCAGGGACTCTTTGAGTCCAATTATGGCAAGTCCTGAGGGGTGTCCCAGAGCAGCCAACTCTAAGGGCTCAGACATCCATCTTTAGCCTTCTAGCCACTGTGGATTCCAACATGCCATATTTCAGAGTCCCTTCCAGCCGCAGCCTAGGCACAGCCAAAATTGTGTCTTAAGTCAATCCTAGCCAGGGCCACCATGGCCCTCTTCCGTGGAGGTGGAGGACTGCGGGCACACTTAGCTATGCTTCCTCAGTTGGAAGAGATGGGATGGGAGAACTGCACACCAAAGGGGGATGTCCTGAAGTCCCCCAAGCCTGGATCCCAGCATCCATGTCCTGGCTATTCAGGAGGCCCACTCACAATGCACAGCCACCTAACTTCAGCTTGGTCTGCGTAGGCCACAAACTCTCCAAGGCGAATCTGTGGCCTGAAATTCTTTGGCATCTGCTCCTTGGATACAGGCAAACACAATTCCTAGCAGCAGGAGCCTACTGTAAGCCTCTGCCCTAGCCCTGGTGAATTGGGTTGGGGCAGACTCGTTCCCAGAAACTCTCTGACCTGATTGGGAGAAAGAGGGCAAACCAAGTGGAGGATCGGCTGTGAGGTGGAACTGGTCTTTGCAAGTTTTTATTAAAGTAGGGTGGGGAGAGTCAGACTTCGATTGGAAAAGTCTCTCAGACAGACCAGGAAAGCTGGGAAGCCTCTGGGGCTGGGATGGCAGACCTGCTGTCTGCAAATACAAACAGCATTGAGTCTCTTAAGGCCATCGCTCCAGGAAGCCCAAGGGCACCAAGGCCCAAATCCTATAAGGATGCAGTTCCTGGCTTGTCCTCCAGATCCCAAACCGAGTTTCCTTTTCTCCCAGCGCTGGAAAAAACGATCTTTAAAGTTCGATAGAACCCCGGAGTGACCAACCTAGCGCTGGAGGGATACATTGGAGCAGGAGGTACTGGTTGGGACTCTGTGGGGAGACTGTGCCTGGTCACTCGCCGCCGGACCAATCCAGAGAGCGGCCAGCATATATATATGGACGTCAGGCTGGCTTCCAGAGAAAAGAGGCGTGGAGTCTATCTACCCTGTTTCACCAAGGCCTGGGCTTAGGGGGCACTGGTGGGAAAAGTGTTCCAGGAGACAGCTCTGTTGTCAGACCCCACCCTGGTGTGGGAATGCTTCATCGAAAGAAAGTCGCCAAAGCACCTCTGCAACCGGTCATTTGCTTGGGTGATTCTCACCCATCCCCCAACCATCCTGGCCCGCCGGGCAAGGCACTATGTCACCTAAAGGAGTGTCAGCCAAAGTGTGAGCGCTGCGGGGCTCCTGCTTCGCCTGAGACCTTCCCACCGTAGCACCCACCCCTCACACACTCGCAAAGCCAACAGTGCGCGGATTTGACTCTCGAGGAATCGGTGAGGGCAAAGGCTAGAGGAGAGGGTTGGGGGCTGAGGAAGCGGCTGTAGCGACTCAAGCTACTGTGGTTCAGTGTCCCGAGAGGTTTCGGGGTGCGGAGCGGAGCGCACTGGGCTTTGGGAAGAGGCGCGCTGCAGAGCTCCAGCCAGGGAGTGGCAGCCTGCCAGCGCCCCTTTCTGCCGAAGCTCTCCAGTCCGAATCAGCCTTAACCTCCAAGACGGGGTGCGTCTCCCCCACCTGCAGGCTCCCGCTGCGGGCGTGGTTCGCACCATGTCCCTCCGGGATCTTACCTCAGCGGCGTACACTTCGGCGTCCTGAGACGCTGAACCGCGGCCCAGGCAATCCAGAAGCACAAGTAGCAGTGGGAGCAGCCAAACTCGGCCGCCGAGGCAGCTGCCAGTGCAGCCTGGCCATCCAGACGCGCCCCGGTCGCTGCCCATGTTCGTCGTCCGCCAGCCGTGTTCTGGGCGCGCACGCGGGGCTGGCTCGCTGGCCAGCTCCGGGCCCTTGCACGCGGCTGGGAAACTTGCGACGCTCCCTGGCTCCCGGCCCCGCGGGCGCGCGGCGGATCTCTGGCTCCCAGTGCGTGCGGGAGTCGCTCAGGTCCCCTCGGCAAATTCCCAAACGCGAGGAGAAGCGGGCAAGACAGGTCCCGGCACGCGGGGACCCGCCCGCAGGAGAGGGTACCCGCCGAGCTGCACGCCGCAGAGTCTCGCAGGGTTGGCGCGGTGCGCCCTGGCCCCGGCCCCCGGGAGCAAGCACAACTCCAGAGCCTTTGTCTGGCTCAGCGCTCCGGCCGCCCGGTCCCGCGGCGCCCCCTGCGCGCCCTGCTCTCTCTGTCCATGCTCAGAGCTGCCCAGAGCGCGCGCCTCCCGCCGGCCACTCCGCTTGCTGCCGCGCCCAACCCGGCCTGGATCTCCAGGCAGTTCCTGCGGGAACGCAGGGAACCGGCCAGAGAGAGCGAGGAGTCCGCCAGCCAGCTAACCAGCGCCCCGCGTCCCCCGCGAGTTTGGCTCCGCAGCCTTACTCCCAATGCGCCGCGGGAGCCGCCGCTCTTAAAGGGCCAGTGTGCTCCCTGTGCGCAAATCTAGGCGGAGGCTGGGGGCGGTTCCTAACCCGAGGCTTTTCAGTAGCAGGTGCCGGTTGTGTTGCCCAGGCACGTGGGCGACTGTGCTCATCTTTCCTGACCGCAGCAAAACTCCCCTAGCCTGCTTCCATCTCTGCTTCTGGGGAAGCAGACCCTCATAACTTGACTATTTTGAAGCAGGGCGCAAGGAAGGCGTGGTCTCCTTTCGAGGGCAACACATAGATTCCTCAAGCCACTTGGAGGAAGGCGATAAGGACATTCAGATAGAGGTGGTCCAGAAAAGGACCAGGGTAATGATCCGAAATCCTGCTTTTTACTTTGAAACATGACAATAAAACTTCTAAACGAAGTTGGAGGGGCAGTTAAGATGACTCAGTGTGTAAAGGCTCTGGCCACCATCAAGTTTGTCAAGTGTGGCAATAAGAGTTCCATCCCCAGGACCATCTTGGTGGACCACTAGAACCTGTACCACTGTTGCGCACCTGTGAACACGCGCGCGCACACACAAATAAAATTTAAAAAACAAGCCTCAGGGTGTCTTAGGCTCTTTAGTAAATTTCTAAGTCGTGAAGTCAGGGGATAAGGAACAACGGAGAGTTCAGGTTTACAATGTGTGGGAATCTGCATTCCTACTCCCCTGCACGTGAATATGAGCAAATTACTAGATCTTTTTGAGTCTCCATGTTGGGATGAGCGTTCTAACTCATAGTGTGCACATATTTTGTTTCCAAGCAAACCAGCTCTACTTGATCTGTATTATGTGAAAGTCAGTGTGTCGATGAGGTTTATCAGAAGGCTGGGTGAAAAAGCAAACCTTCCCGTGAAGTTTGGGCTTGACTTTAATTTTTACTCCAACATGGATGTTAAGTGGGCCAAAGACCCGCGGAAACTTCGTCCAGCCCAAGGTCAGCTCTAGTGTAGTGAACTGCAGCAAGTGGATTGCCACTTGAGGACCAGAAGTGCCAGGGCAGAGGGCAGCAAACCTCCCTACCTCCCCACAGACAAATGGGAGCTTACCTTACCTGAAGGGTAGGGTTTTCCTAGACTCGGCTCTCAGGGTGCCCCGCCTGACCTGGGGAAGGACCTTAGAATGGCTGGTTTGAATCCACCCACAGGGTGAAAGATCAAACACACCTGGTGCCTGACCTAACACTTCATGGGAAGGAAACTGGGGTTTGTTGAAAAGATAAAGGTAGCATATCCCCATTTTCACCGATGGACTTCCCTGTGAGATCCCTCACCTGGGAAACCAGCTTCCCAATTCTCTAATTTGAAATTTGATTTTGAGAAATGTTCAGTGTCTGGTGCACAACAGCCCATTTAAGTCAGATGTACTGACAATTGTTTGCAAAATTTATTCCCAATCATTAAAAGAAAAAAAAAACCTGAGTTTATGGGGTTATCTAGTAATAAATAAAATCTCAGGTATGTAGGCAATGTTTGAAATAATGTTTGAAAGACCATGGTCAGTCAGGTCTTGTGTTTTCTCCCATGGCTGGTTGTTCTGGTGGGCACTTCTGGCTAAAGGAAATGGCTTCTTCTTTTTTACAGATGTATTTATTATATATACAGTGTTCTGCCTGAATGTATGCCTGAACACCAGAAGAGGGCACCAGAACACATTACAGATGTTTGTGAGCCACCATGTGGTTGCTAGGAATGGAACTCAGGACCTCTGGAAGAGCAGCCAGTGCTCTTAACCTCTGAGCCATCTCTCGCCCAGAAATGGCTTCTTATGTGAGCAGTTCTACAGAAAACTATGGATTTTAAGCCAGGTCTCTGGGTTCCTGCCCTAGGTCTGCTTTATTGGAATTTGGAACATTTGTCTTCCGTTTAAGTTTAGCTTCTTACTTGTAAAATGAGGGTTATGCTCCCGCTAACAGGTGAAGTTGCGGTGGGCTAGAACTAGGCCTGGGATGACGATACCCTGGCTACCAGTTACAAGAGTTCCTCGGGCAGCATCCACTCTCAAAGGTGGGGCTGAAACTGAGGGAAAACCTGGTTAACTCTGCAGTTTCACTTGCTATTCATTACCTACTTTTCCTACCTCTTTTAGAAGTATGTATCTGTGCAGTATGCTCACATTAGCTTTGCTGCCAGTAACCCTCTGAGAGAGAGGGTCATGGGGAGAATAGGTTGCAGGCTTTTTAGTAATTGGAGGCAGCTCAAAAGGGCTGAAATGGGCAGGAGAGATGGCTCAGTATGAAGAACATTTGTCTATCTTTCCAGGAATGCAAGTTTGGTTCCCAGTACCCACATCAGGTAGGCCAGAACTGCCTGTGATTCCAGCTCTGAGGTAACCTAGCCTCCTTTTCTGGCCTCACACTACACACACTCCAACCCATCTCTGGTGGGCTTCAAAGTGCAGAACACATTATGCCTCTTTTCCTTACTTCCAATCACCATCTCCATGCCCCAAAATGCCCTGTTTCTTTACCCTGTAAACACCTCTAAAGCCTATAGTTGGGAAGGCTGATTTGAAGCTCTTGCTCCTCACGCTTGGCCACTATCACTTCAGTGACTGTTATTGAGCCAGGCTGGCAGAACAGAACCCTTTCCGTCACAGGACAGTCTTTTGGACTCTGGATGCCAAGAGAAGGAATAAACAAACACACCAAGTACTTTCCCTTTCTCTTAGATAGAGCCAGGAGGTCTAAAGAGGAATGGAGAAGGTCTTATTTAGTACCAGGTGAAAATCAGCCAGTGAGTCCTTGAGGTGAGAATTCCCTGCCCTGAAGGGAGCATCTAAGGATGCCAGAGCCAGAAGTGTTGATTCTGTACTCTCCCAAGCATGATAAAATTCTCATCATGAGCAATCCTTCCCTGTACACCACCCACCTAGTGGTGGACAAGCCTGCTCTGGTTTTCCATCTGCAATTGTCTCTGGTGTCTGGAACACTTCTCCTCTTTTGGAAGGAAGCGCTCCAGCTGCTTCTGCTGAACGCACTCTGCTCTGGATGCATGCTGCATATCTGGGTGCCCGCCAAGCAAAGGCTGCCCGCCTTCTCAGGCAAGGCTTACATGCCCATCCCCCTCAGCAAAGCCCAGGCTTCCTCCGTTGCCACCTCCATTCTCTGTTGAAGAGCTGCTTATTGATCTTGGCCCATTTCTCCAACAGGCTGCACTTTTAACTCCACTCACAGCACAGACAATCTGCAGAGCCACATCCTCTCCCGGGAGGAGGTAGGCAGGGCAGCCCTCAGTGGTTTGGATAAATACAAGGTTAGGGATGGGCATTCTAACCAGCACACCTTGCCTGTTTTCCCTTTGCACCCAGAGGGCTGGACCTGGATGGGTCCATCCAAAGGTGCAATTCAGGACCTGGCATGGATGGAGCAGGTGTCAGGAATGGGTTCCCATGTTGCCTGCAGGCTAGAAAACATGCCTAGCTTCTCCATTGTGGCTTCTGATGCCATTATGCAGCAGGTCAACTGAAGCCAGTAGACTGGTGTGGTGGCACTGGCCGATCAAGGCAGGGTTGTGAGGGCATGAGTCACATAGGCCTGAGAAGGAGGCAAGTGGAGGAATGGCCTAGGCTGTAACATGGTGGAATCTGAGGCCAAGCCTGAGTCAGGCCCTAACAAGTTCCCCTGTCCCCAGGCAAGTCATGTAACTCTCCTTCCACAGCAATCACCTCTGCCCAGTTTGCTTTCTTCAGGCTCAGCTGTAGGAATAGTTGAGAAGGCCCTGGAAAAACCCTTAGCATCTGTGCTGGAGGAGTGGAGATGGCGATTCCCTGGGCCATGCCAGATCCCCAGTCCACGTACTGCATGCAGTTTCACTTCATGAAGTCCTTGAAGGCAGGGTAACCCCATCTTTTCTTTTTTGTGTGTGGGGGGAGATCTGTGCTCAGAGGTAGACATACATGTGTGTATGGCTGTGCACACGGGTGTAAGGCTTTGTGGACATAAGGAAACAATTCGGGGTATATTTTGTGCCTCAGGAGCCATCCACCTTGTTTTTTGAGTGAGTCTCTCATTGGCTTAGAGTTTGGCAACTAGGCGAGGCTGGCTGTCAGCTCAGAGGGTCCTTTTGTGTCTGCTTCCCCAGTGCAAAGATTACAAGTGTTTGCCAAAAGTGCAGTTTTTGTTTGTTTGTTTGTTTTCTTTCCCCAAGACAGTTTCTCAGTGTAGTCCTGCCTGTTCTGGAAAACTCGCTCTGTAGACCAGGCTGGCCTTTAACTCACCGAGATCCTCCTGCCTCTGCCTCTTGAGTGCTGGAATCAAAGGCATGCATCACTATCACCACCTAGCAGCTTTTTAAAGGCTGGTTATGAGGACTGAACTCAAGTCCTTATGCCTACAAAGCAAAAACATTCCTGACTGAGCTAACTCTCCAGCTCCCACTCTTTTCTTTTTAAATTAAAATTTTATGTGTATGGGTGTTTTGCCTGCATGTATGTGCACCACATACATGCCTGGTGCCTGAGGCCAGAAGGGCTGGGGTCACAGATGGTTATGAGCTACACAAGGGTGTGGAATCAAATCTATGGCCTCTGAGAGAGCAGCTGCCTCTTCAGCACCCCCAACCCCATCATTTTTTCTTGAGTCACAGTTAAAACAGAGGGTCAGTGTGATCGCTCACTGGCTAGAAGCCCTTTTTGAGAACTGACAACCATGAATTCTACAAAGTCACAGGAAGGAATGGACTCCCGAGAGCTTTCTCTGAACTCAGGTGCCTGCATACACATGTACACACACACACACACACACACACACACACACACACACACACACACACACAAACACCCATAGAAATCTTTAAAGTTGTAACAGAGCCTCTCAAGAGCCCCCTGAACTGTGAAGCAAGCTGGAGGGGAGGGCAGAGGTATCTCCCATCATTTAAAATAAGATGCCACGTTAAAAAGACAGATTTTATTTGCTGAACATAATTTAAAACTGTAAAAAAATATTTCTTCATCCATCACTGTGACAACTGGAGAGGACTGGTTCTTTGCCCTGATAAGAGCTTGATGGAAAATAAACTCTCCTGTGTCTCCCTGGCCCTCTCCACCTCCCACCCCTTAAGAATGCTCAGCCCCAGGGGTGGGGGTGGGGCGGGGGTGGTATTTTGCCTGGAGGAAAGGTGCCTCTGCTTCTTCAGGAAAGCTGAGGGGGAAACCAGGGGTCATAGGTGTTGGAGGCCTGGCTGGCAGCCATAGTCAGGCCAAAATGAAACATCTGCTGGGCTCTCCCCAGGCACCCGGCTGGGTAAGTGGGAGGATGGAATGGAGAAAACGGCCGCTGACCACAATTAGTGCCCTGTGCCCTGGCCCTGAAATGACCTCTCCTGGCACAGGGTGGGGTGAAGGGAAGAAGTGGTAAATAAGGAGATTAAAAGGAGGGTGACAGGCTCACTGAAGCCCCCAGCCTAGAGATGAGTTAGGGCGCAATGACTTTTAAAAACTGGTGTGATGGCCAGTGGCATCAATATAGATTACTGCCGTGGAGAGACCTCAGTGGGGACTCACTGAGTACGTGTGTGGGCTCCCCAGCAGTGCTCATTTGCTTTTCCTAGAGGAAGAGAAGAATTAGAGGTCCGGCTGCCCTCTACTGGTGATTTCTGGAAATGACCACACCACAGCAGCAGCCTACCAACCCAAAAGAACCAGGAGAGAGGAGTCCACCGGAACAGTGCTCAGTGTGTGATTAGGACTTCTTGCTGGGGTCATCCCACAGATGGCATCAGGCTCTTCCATCTCAGCTGGCCTATAGAGACGCCCGGGACAAGGTTCACTTCAAAGGCATCGAGAAGAATTTGTTCCCGGACTTGCAGCGGACCTGCTCAGCCAGCACACGCAACAGCATCTCAGAGTCTTCAAACTCATCCACGATTTCCTTCAGTCAGCAGCAGGGAGATGACAGCCACGTTAAGGGGAATTGGATCCACAGGCACCACAAACAACACCATTCCAGGAAACTGGGCAATACTGAGAGGGTCCCAGGTCATGAAGACTCCAGGCTCTGCAGTCATTATCGGGTTCAATCACCTTACAATCTTATGAGATGAGGACACACATAGTGGTCTGGGGGCAGTGACTACCACAAAGCTTGGTTTAGTTTGGGACTGGGCTCTCCTGGAGCCAGACATCAGAGCTCTTTGCTCTGATCAGGCCAATGGGAAGATGCCTACAGAGATGACGGTCCATGACCTGAACAGATCTTGACATGTAAAGTACTTTTTAGAAATCCAAATCAGGTACTTGGGAGGAAGAGGCAGGTGGATCTCTTAGAGTCTGAGGACATTCTGGTCTACAGAAAATAGACCATGTCTTGAAAAATCAAACATAAATAAATAAACAAACAATAAATAAATAAAATCCAAATCTGTTGCCAACACTGGGAAATCAGAACAGTTCACAGAAAATTTTGAACTGCTGGCTTCCCTTGAGAACAACAGGACTGTTGCCAACAAAGGGCCATGCTGCAGCCTGCCGGGTGCACTGCAGGTACTGTGCACAGGCACTGCAAGTTCTCCCAGGGCACCAACAGGAGGGTGACCTGTTTTGCCTGCTATCAAAATGTAAGTTCTAGGCCAAGCAAGGAGACATTGTAAGACCTTGACTAAAAAGTAAGATCCATAATGTAACAGGCTCGGAGGGCTGGAGGTTCGTTCCTCATACCTGCCATTCTTCCTCCACTTCCTGGAGGAAGTTTGCCAGATCCAAACCTCTGACCTCAGCTAAATGGCTGGGGCTGAGGGGGAGGGGGCTCACCCTGGTCATGGGTCAGGGTTAAGGCAGGGCACACAAAGCCCAAGAGGTTGTGTTACACTGCAGGTCTGCTCCCTGACTAGGGTGGGGCCTGAGCACCTGCAGTGCCACTTAGCTCCCTGCTGCTGCCCACTCAGGGGTGTCACTCGGTTTCCTACAGATTTAGGTGTCAGTGTCCAGCCCTCCCCTTTCTGTCATTTGTTCATCCCATCATTTTTGGAGCTCAGTGCTCTGTCTCCCTGCCCTGGGAATTCACCTGTAGTTCCTGCAGGCACTGTCCCTCCAGCTGGAGACGTGCATCACCCACACACCAGGCCAGACTGACATGAAATGAAGGGTCCTAGGGAAGAATAGCAGGGATCAGGGCACCGCTGGATGCCATGGCAGGCCCATCCATCACAGCAGTTCTATGACAGTCCCATCAGGTCTCCCTATAGGATCCCTGGCCTGTCCCCAGAGCTGAAGCCATATCCCCTGCTCACACAGACAAAATAAATAGCTTGTGCTGGTCCCCATTACAGACTGAATTGTACTTCTCCCCCATATGCAAAAAGTGAAAGCCGAATCCCCAAGGTGATGGTGTTTGGATGTAATTAATTAGGGTTAGATGAGGGCATAGTGTGGTGCCCTTAGAGAAAGAGGTATGGATGGGCAATGGCTCAGAGGACAAAGGTTTGATCCCCAACACCCACCTGGTGGTTAACAAGTCTAGTCCCAGGAAGTCTTATGGCCTCCAACAGCACTGCATGCACATGGTACACAGTCTTACAGGTAGGCAAAACATCCATAAGCACAAAAATTATTAACAACTAAAGACAGGAGTAGAGAGCTGTCACTCCTTTCCCTCCATGACGGAAGGGCACAGTGAGGGATGCCTCTTACAAGCCACAGTCCTCATCGTATAGGTGCTTTAATCGTGGACTCCCAACTTCCAGGACTAAAGGAGTACACTACCATTCTCAGCTCTGCCTCTGTTTTTTGACCTACAACTTCCAGCAGAGGCCTTCAGATTAAATGAACAAAACCCCAAAATGTCAACAATTTTGAAGAAACAATAATTCTATTCAAAAATAACTGCACACCTGGCATGGCTTTGCAAACACATTGAAAAAACCAATGGCTTTTCAAAGCTGTGACACTCAAGCTGCACTTGAGTCTCCAAAAGGACATAGGGGAGGTACAGTGAGGATGAGAAGCTACAGTTCTTCCTGTGGGTCATTTTACTAACTGTTGGGAATAGCTACTTAAGAAAAACAAGGCAAACATGGATGCCTTACAGAGTAGAAAGACAAATCTCAAGACACACAGTTTTCCCATGTTGGACTTTGGGTAGACTACAACTTGCCAGCCCACAGGATTCAGCCAGTGTGGCTGAAACAGTAATCTTCTCTGTTCATCTGCCTCAACCGTGTACATTACCTGGTAGAAGGTAGTGAGGTCAAATTCCTCCATGACTCTGTCCACCTCTGAAACCAGGTCCAGGAACTGGGCATGTCCTGAGCTGACCTCAAGCCCAATGAAGGTCCTAGGAAGAGGCAGGGAGAGACAGGGGCACAGAATGCAGCCTGTGAGAGCACAAGCCACACAAGTAGGAGCAGGGACATCCAACAGGATGTCCAGGGACTTGGGCTGTGGCTTAGCCCATCTTTTGGGCATGTTCCTGCTGCTCCATGAACCAACTCTCTCAATCCCCCTTCCTTCCCTCACTTAAGAATCAGCCTTCACTGGATGTCTCCTCCTCTAAGGACCCTGGCAGGGCAGACTTCATCCACCACTGCATACCGGGCTCTCTTGCCCCTTCCACTCTCTGGCAGCCTCCTGGACTCATCACCCTCTCCAAGCTCTGCTCTCGGGTACACATTTCCTTCTACAGGTGCTGAGAACTGCTGTCTTTAGTAAATAAACCCTCTCCTGACCCTGCCTTCATCCCATTCTCAATGAAACACAGTACAACAAACAAGCAAACCATGGTGGTCTGCTATCTTCCTCTGTACTATCTGGTCCCCCACCTCTAATACTCCTTCAGAAATGCTCTTGTCAAAGTGGCCAATGATTATAATGATCTCTATGCTATCAAAGCCACAAATCTTGTCCTCACTTCTTGGCAAATATCTGAACCAGTCCATTCCCCACTCCTGGAAACCCTTTAGCTTATAAAGTTATAGAGCCTAAATGAAGTACAGAGTGAACCTTTTCAGAGCAGCTGAGCGGGATGGCTCAGTGAACGAACTGGGCAGAGAGGCCCTGCAGATAAAAATGCCCTCATTTTTTTTTTTTTTTTGTTTGTATTTTGAGACAGGGTTTCTCTGTGTAGCACTGGCTGACCTAGAACTCACTCTGTAGATCAGATGGCCTTGAACTCACTGAGATACACCTGTCCGTGCCTTCCGATTATTAGGATTAAAGGTGTGCGCCACCACTGCCAGGCTGAAAATGCCCTCTTATGTTTACTTAATACTTTAGGATTCCTAACTCTTCAGGCCTCACTGGCTCACTTGGTAATAGATGAGTAGGGGGAAGTGAGAAATGGTGCAGAAAGGGAGGTATTAGGAGCTCATCACTCTGTGTGTGTGGTGGGGGAGCTAGACAGGAACAGGCTCCACCTTCACAGACAGCCTCTATACTGAGATAGTTCTCCATCTGCACTGCTCCCAAAACTCCCTCAACTCTTCTGAATAAGCTTGGGCTTTATTTATTTTTAAAAATAAGTGTATTTTTGGGAACAGATGCCCATAAATATAAGTGAAAATGAAATGCATCCCCTCTATCTTTGCAATAAAGTTAAGGACCCACCTGGTTTTTTCTTGGTTGGTATAAATCTTTACCTGGTTGGCAGTAAAAAAGAACCTGAAATTTAAAAGAAGAAAGATATTTCAAGAAAAAAGGAAAGAAGTAAAATAATAGTTCATGTTTTAAAAACAAGCACTTTGAGCTGGAGATGGTGATGGATGTCTACAGACTGTGCTCAGGAGGTCAAAACAGAAGATCTGGATTTATAGTAAGAGTCTATCTCAAACAAACAACATCAACCCCTCTAGATACCTCCTCAAACAGCTCTTTAAAAATATAATTAACTCATTTTACAAATTAATATTGTTATTCTACTATTTGAGTCTTGTTGCATGTAGCAGTGTCCGGGAACCAGCAAAAAGTTTGCTTTGCTAAGGGCAGTTTATCCCAACAAACAACTTGAAGCCACCAACTTTACTGCCCCTAGCTTCATCTATTACTGTGTAGCATGCTGTGCAGTGCACCTGAGAAAGTCATCCATCGTGTGGGTGGAAACAGATAGTTGATATGACCTTGTGAGGCATAGACAAGACAATGGACCTGGTGAGGCTGAATTTGATGAGGCAGTTGTAGTGAACGGTTCTTTCCGCCAGCCTGGTCCCACAGCCATGTCAGTCCCAAATGAACACACAGATGCTATATTAGTTATGAGACTGTTGACCAATAGCTTGGGCTTCTTAATTATTAACCCATTTTTATCATCTATGTATTGCCACGAGGCTGTGGCTTACCTGGTAATGCCCAGCATGGTGTTACTCCTCCAGCAGCATCGCAACGCTTCCCTGCCTACACTTCCCAGAATTCTTCTGGTCTCCTAGCCCCACCTATCTTTCTGCCTGGCCAATCAGCATTTTACTCATTAACCAATAAGAGAACCATATATGTAGAAGGAACACCCCCATCAGGCAGGAGTTGAGGCTCAGTCCATTTGATTGAAAAGCCCTTGTTCTCACCTAAAAAGTGAATCTCCGTTGAAGTGGGTCTGATGGTAGAAAATAGGGCAGAAACCCCACTCACTCAGCACCTGTATTGGTTACATAGGGACCAGAGTCAGGGCTGCACTGCCTACTGCTGTGGAATATTCCTTCTATACATTGTGAAGATGTGTGGCTCTCATTGTTAATAAGAAGCCGACTGGCTGATAGCTAGGGAGGATTCTCAGAGTAGAAAATGCTGGGAAGAAGGATGGAGTCTGAGGTGTCTCGCTCGAGCCACATGGGTAAGAAACAACATGGGAAGTTCATACATGAGGTAGACGAGCCTGGGACAGCACACAGATAATAGAAATGGGTTAATTTAAGTTGTATTTTCTGCCTGGAGAAAAGCCTAAGCTATTGGCCAGGCATTTATAAAGTATGAAGTCTCTATGTGGTTATTTGGGAGCAGCTGCTGCAACACAGAGAAACTGCCTATAGCCCAGTTTTGGTCATTTCAACTCAATAAACTAAGGTTTGCAGCTGGTCTAGCTTCACTGAGGACAGAGGACAGCAAACAGAGCAAGGACAACATCAAATCCATTTCCTCAAAGACACCAATCCAGCAGTCTAGGGCCTGCTCTCTGGTCCTCGAGTGAGAAGGGCAACAGGCTACACATGTCCCACAGAGAATGATACCTCTTGCAATGGCTCTTGGGCAGTTTCCAGAGGTCCCAGCAAGGTGCTTGCTTCTAAAAGAACTAGTACCCACTAGGAGTCAGAGGGAGTGGCTTCCCACCAGACCTTCATGAATTCTCTCTCATACACTGGTTTCTCACCTTCAAGCAGCTCACCTGCAGTGCACCTGACAGTCTTGTTACCATGACAATGCTGCTGATCACCCAGCTTGAATGCTAGTTTGTCCAGAAACAGAGCTCCAATAAGATAGGGCAGCATTCTCTAGAATAAGGGGAGAGGGCTTTCTACTCTTTACTGCTGAAACTGTCTGTGTGTGTGAAGCCTGAGGGTTGGAGAGAGAAGATGGCTCAGTGATTAGTGGTTAAGAACAGTTGCTGTGCAACCATAAGGACTGGAGTTCTGATACTAGGACTCAACTAACAAGTTGGGCATTCTGTGTACACCTGTAACCCTAGCTATAAGCTGGACAGAAACAGGGTTGCTGGGGCATGCAGGCTTCCGAGCCTAGCCAAAAAAACAGAAACAAAAACAAAACAAAACAAAAAATCCCACAAGCTCAAAGTTTGGGAAGGGCCCTGTCTCAAAGGAGTAGGCAAAGAATGACAGGAGATACCTGATGTCATCTTTTGACCTCTGCATGCATGGAGGCATGGACCCTCACACACATATGTGTATGGAGTGCCTATGGAGGCCAGAAGAAGCCATCCTCTGGAACTAGAGTTATAGACAGTTTGAGCTGCCAATTGGGGCTGGGAACTGAATTCATGTCCTCTACAAGGACAGCCAGTGCTCTCACTGCTGAAACATCATCCCTCAAGCCCAATAAACACATTTTAAAAGGAGCCTGAAGGGTGGGGAGATAAACAATTGGTAGAAGTAGTAGCCGAACAAGTGTGAGGATGTGAATTCAAAACTCTGGACTCCATGTAAAAGCTGGGCACAGGAGTGTGAGCACTGTAATTCCAGTGCTGCCATCAGGAGATGGGACAACAATGGGGGAATCCCTGATGCTCATGCACTAGGTAGCCCGAGACACACAGAAAAAAAAAAAAAAAACACAAAAAAAAAACAAGCAAACAAACAAAAAACAATAAAGATATCCTATCTTAAGCAATGTGGAAAGTTAGGACCAACACCTGACTTCTACATGCATGCTGTGGAATGTATGCATCTGTACTCATATATGAAGACACATACACACATACAGGTGGCTCCCTTGTCATTGAGAGAAGGAAGCCAACCTTGTGGGACAAAGCTGAGACAGCACAACTCGGGTAACATCCCTGGCTACCTCCATCTACTCATGCATGAAACTAGGGCTGTCTCTGAACCCATCTGTAATTCCCTTTGGGCGAAGCCAATTTAGGTTGGGTCCTGGTACCTGTGATAGACCTGATAATAAACAGCTGGCAATCACAGTGGGCTAGACAGAGACATGCTTTAATCCTGGTTTTCTCACCAACTGACTGCAATGGAGCAAATTCTTTCCTCCTCAACCAAACAGGGGGCTTTTCTATTTGGCAGAGCTGCACTCCAGAATCTCTGAGCCTCAGGCCCCCTAAGCAGTGGGCTTGGGAGTTCACCAGAAGACTTCTATTTCCACCCATATCATGCCTTCATAGTGGCATCTATGAAGGAAGACTGCAGCCTGGGCTGGAGAGTTGCCTCAGTGGATAAGAGCACTGGCTGCTTTGGCAGAGGACTGGGGTTCAATTCTCAGCACCTACACAGAGGTTCATAGCTTTCTGTATCTCTGATGCCCTTTTCAGATCTTGACCAGCACAAGGACTGGAGAGATGGCTAAGTGGTTAGGAGCACTGGCTATTCTTCCAGAGGACCCGTGTTCAATTTCCAGCACCTACATGGCAGCTCACAACTGACAGGAGATGTCATTCTGTAAATATGTTTCTTTTATTGGTTAATGAATAAAGCACTGTTGGCCAATAGGAAAGCAAGATAGGCAGGGCTAGGAGAGAAGGAGGATTTGGGAAGAGGTAGGAGGAGATTCAAAATGTAGGACCAAGAGAGCAGAACTCCAGACCCTCTCTTCGTTAAGATAAGACCACATGGAAATACTTAGAATAATAAAAATGGGTTCATATTTAAGACAGAGCTAGCCAATAAGAAACACTAGTAACAGGCCAACAGCTTTATATCTACATAGCGACTCTATGTGTTATTTGGGGCTGACACAGCAGTGGGACCAGGCTGGCTGAGAAAAAACTTGTAATAAAATGGCACTGCAATGTGGACCCGAGAACTTTCAGTTAAAACTTGACAAAAGGTTAAAAAGGGTTTTAGAAACAAAAGAACAGAGACAAGCAAGGCTTTTCCTTAACAGTATTTTTCTCGTTAACAGTATTTTTCTCGGTTGGACTCTGTTTTGCTAGAGACAAGCAGAGACTCGCTTAGCTCCTTTAAGGGAGGTTTCCTGACTCAGCATAGAGGCAAAAGACTGCAAGGCTTTTAAGAAGCGCTGCTAACAATTCAATGGTGTGTATGAGCAGCTGGTTTAAAAAAAAAAAATAAAGAGAGTAGCTGTGGCATCGATGGCAAATGCCTTTAATTCCAGCACTAGGGAGGCAGAGGCAAGAGGATCTCTGTGATTTCAAAGTAAACTTGGTGTATGGAGTGAATTCCTGGGCAGCCAAAGTTACACAGAGAAACCCTGTCTCAAAAAATGAAAAACTAGAATTAAAAAAAATATAGAGTAATAAAAAAGCCACATAAAGACAGAGAGAGTCTGGAAACTGTATGGTACTGTGTTGTCTTTGTATTGTTTGACTGCTGAGGAAATAGTAACAACTATCTTCAATTCCAGTTCCCGGGAATCTGGCACCCTCACACAGACATACATGCAGGAAAAACAACAATTGACATAAAGCAAATATTTTTAAAAATCAGGGCAGTGGTGGCACACACCTTTAATCCCAGTACTGTAAGTTTGAGGCTAGCCTGGCCTACAGAGCAAGTTCCAGGTAGCCAAGGGTACACAGAGAAATCCTGTGTCAAAAAACCAAACACAAAAATCTTTTTAAAAAGACTGAGATTAAATCAGATTCCAAAACCCACTAACAATCAAGTTCTGTGAGTTCTTTACAGGACCAGCTCTCAGGACCCAGAGAAGATCAAGAAAGGACCTCTTCACTCTGCCCAGTCCTGAGCAAGTACCTATTGATTCCTGGAGAAGGCTATGGGCATTCAGAGAGACGGCACAGTCCTAGGGGATCAGCTCTGGCTCCAGGAGGGAGGAGGGGCATGAGTACATGTGAGGATGAGGGGATGGATTCTTGGGCCATCAACAGTAGCAGAAAAATAGTGCTAACAGTAGCAGAAAAATAGCTGCTGGCACTAAAGGACCATGAGAACAACAGGAAAAGACTCGGTGAAAGAGTAGGCAAGGATATACACAAAACTCAAGTCCAAATAGATCAAAGACCTCAATATGAATCCATCCACACTGAAACTCATAGAGGAGAAAGTGGGAAATAATTTGAACACATAGGCACAGGGGACCACTTCCTAAGAAGAACACCAGCAGCACAGACACTGAGACCAACAATTAATAAATGGGACCTCCTGAAACTGAGAAGCTTCTGTAAAGCAAAGAACATGGCCAATAAGACAAAACAGCTCCCTACAGAATGGGAGAAGATTGTCACTAACCCCACACCTGATAGAGGGCTGATCTCCAAAATACACAAGGAACTCAATAACCTAGAAATCAAACTACAAAATAATCTAATTTAAAAAATGGGGTACAGATCTAAACAGAGAATTCTCAACAGAACAATCTCAAATGGTGTAAAGACACTTAAGGAAATGCTCAATAGCCTTAGTCATCAGGGAAATGCAAATCAAAACCACTCTGAATTCCATCTTACACCGATCAGAATGGCTAAGATCAAAACCACCAATGACAGCTTATGCTGGAGAGGATGTAGAGAAAGGGGGAATACTCCTCCATTGCTGGTGGGAATGCAAACTTGTACAGCCACTGTGGAAATCAGTATGGCAATTTCTTAGAAAGTTTGGGATCAACCTACCTCAAGACCCTGCAATACCACTGTTAGGCATATACCCAAAGGAGGTACATTCACACCACAAGGATATTTGCTCAACAATGTTCATAGCAACATTATTGATAATAGCCAGATCTTGGAAACAACCTAGATGCCCCTCAACTGAAGAATGGATAAGGAAAATGTGGTATTTTACACAATGTGGTTTCTTACTCAGTGGTAAGAAACAATTACATCCTAAAATTCATAGGCAAATGGATAGAACTAGAAAAACCCATCCTGAGTGGGGTAACCCAAAACCAGAAAGCCAAATATAGTATGTACTCATTCACATAATCCACAACCGCAGAGAAGCTTAAACCTGCTTCAAGAAGTAGATGGAAGCAGATACAGAAATCCACAACTAACCATTAGGCCAAGCTCCTGGAGTACAAAGTGAGTGAGGAGTGATAATATGAACAAAGGAGTCAAGACCATGATGGGAAAACCCACAGAATCAGCTGGCCTGACTAGTGAGAGATCACTGACTCAGGTCTGACAAATGGGGAACCTGCATAAGACTGAACTAGACTCCCTTAATACAGGTGACAATGGTGTGACTGGGACAATATATGAGGCCACTGGCAGTGTGTCCAAGATCTAACACTAATGTACAAACTGACTAAGTGGAGCCCATTCTATATGGAGAGATACCATGCTCAGTCTAGACACAGGGGTGTGGGGATGGAGAGGTGCCTTGGTCCTGCCTCAAGGAGATGATGGGACAGACTTAGAAGACATCCTGGGGGGGGGTGGGCCTTACTCTCTAAGGAGCAGATGGGAGGTGGAGGGGAGTGGAGGGAGCAGGAGGAGAGGAGAAAGGGGGAACTGGAATTGGAATGTAAAAAATAAATTAATAAATCAAAGAGTAGGTAAGGATTGCAGGTACAATATGAATAGGTAAGTGTAGAAATGCCATAAGTTGGTAGAGAAAACTGGAGTGGGGCCAGTATGTGCCTCTTCTGTCACTCTTCATGTATATCTTTCAAAATATTCTTTGTAGGGGATGGGATGTAGCTCAGTGACACATTGCTTGTGTAGCATCTCCACCTTTCTCTCCTTTGTAGGTCTGTGTGTAGTGGCTTATGCCTATCCCAGTACTCAGGAAGCTGAGGCAGGATTGCTATAAATCCAAGGCCAGCCTGGTCCAGGGAGCCTGCCTGCCTCAAAAATAAGTAAATAAAGCTCTGTGTGGTAAGCTGCAAATCTAGGAAATAAGCTGTGTTTCTAAATTTTGTGAGACCTTCTAGCAAACAGTCAATAGGAGGATTGGGGTGGGATCATAGGTAGCTCTGATCTATTAACAAAATCAGAATTCTTGGCTAACCTAGGGACCTGCTATGAGCTGGCATCTACTGTAGAGGGTTGCTTGTGGGATGAAGCGCTTAGCCTGTGAGGTTGCACTGAGCCTGGGACACTGGTGTCAGAACTGAACTAAACTGTAGGATGCCTAGTCAGTATCTGGAGAGCTGTGGCAGTGTTGTTTGGGAGAAATTCTTACAGACCTGGCAACAGAAGTGCTGGGATCCTAGGTGTGAGTTTAGAGACAGACGGGCAGGGTTTCTGTACATAACACAGAGAAAGAGCCGTGGAGCACCTTATGTGAGGCCTGTGTCACACTGGATGGGACACAGCGGCCTTAGGTCATTGGGTTCGGCCTGCCTGCCTGGCACCATTCCTGCCTCCAAGCAGACCAGGAGAGGAGAGGAACTGACACGAGAGGGATGTGGTCACCTTTGGAAAGAGGCCATATGGTCTTTGAGCACCTGCACAAAGGGGAGGATCCAGTGGTGCCGGAGAACCACGCTCTGAGACAGGCTGAGGTGGAACTCCTCCATCCGCACCAATCGGGGCTCGAATGTCTGAGCTCGGGGCAGCAACATGTCAAGCAGATCCAGGAACTCTTCCTTTGCTTCATCTAGAAGAAGAGTAGGGAGAGTAGACTGCCTCTTAGCCAAGCTGTCACAGATGAGTAAAGAGCCCAGAGGGCAGAGAAACACTTATTAGTCTGGTTTCAGGAGTAGCTTGTGTCTAGACAGCCTACCAATATTTTAACGCAAATGTCTTTTCAAATAAATGTATTATGATATGTGAGGTATGTGTGGGAATACATGATAGTACTTTCCAGTGTTCCTCTAAGTGTTCCTACCCATGGGTGCTGAGATTAAAGTCATGCCAGCCTAAAGCATCTTTATGCCAACACCAAGCTGTTTTCATTATTATAGCTCCATAGTAGAGTTTGAAGTCAGATATGATGATGTCTACAAAGTTTCTTTATTGTACAGGGTTGTTTTGGCTATCCTTGTTTTTTTTTGTTTTTCCATATGAAATTGAGTATTGTCCTTTCGAGGTCTGTGGAGAATTGTGCTGATTTTGATGGGGACTGCATTGAGTCTGTAGATTGCTTTTGGCAAGATTGCCATTTTTATTATGTTAAATCTACCTAATTAAGAGCATGGGAGACCTTTCCATTTTCTTATGTCTTCTTCAATTTCTTTCTTCAAAGACTTAAAGTTCTTGTCATACAGGTCTTTCACTTATTTGATTAGAGTTATTTTATGTTATTTGTGGCTATTGTAAAGGGTGTTGTTTCTCTGATTTGTTTCTCAGCCCGTTTATCATCTGTATATAGGAAGGCTACTGTTTTTTTTTTTTTTTTTTTAATCTTGTATCCTGCTACATTACTGAAGGTGTTTATCAGTTCCCTGGGAGAATTTTTGTTGTTACTTATGTACACTATCATATCAGACTGCTTCTTTTCCAATTTGTATCCCCTTGATCTCTTTTTGTTGTCTTACTGCTTTAGCTATAACTTTGAGTACGATATTGAATAGATATTGGGAGAGTGGACAGCCTTGTCTTGTTCCTGATTTTAGAGGAATTACATTGAGTTTCTCTCCATTTAGTTTGATGCTGGCTGTTGGCTTGCTGTACATTGCCTTTATTATCTTTAGGTATGTTCTTTGTATCTCTGATCTCTCCAAGACCTTTATCATGAAGGGGTGTTGGATTTTGCCAAAGGCTTTTTCAGTATCTAATGAGATGATCGTGTGTGTGTGTGTGTGTGTGTGTGTGTGTGTGTGTGTGTGTGTGTTTTCTTTCAGTTTGGCATCTTTAGGCATCTGTTTAAATTTAGGAACAACCAAAATGTCCTTTAGTAGGTGAACATACTGTGTTGGAGACAGACAATGGAATATTAGCACTAAAAAGAAAAGAACTATCAAGTATGAAAAGGCACAGAGGAACCTTAAATGCACATTACTAAGCCATAGAAGGCTATCTGAAAAGGCTATACACTACATGAGCTCAATTCTATGATATTTTGGAGAAGTCAAGTTTGTGGAAATATGTGTTGGGGGAGGGATGGCTAAGTCAAACAGGAAGAATTTGTATAGCAGTGACATTACTCTGCATGATAGTGTAGATGTACATATTTTAAGTTTGTCTAAACTCACAGAATGTACAACACCAAGATTTATCTATAACACAAACCTTGAAGTCTGGTGATTATAATATGGGCTCCAGACAGGTGGTGGTGGCACACACTTTTAATTCCTGCACTGGACAGCAGACACAGGCAGATATCTGAGTTCTAGGGTAGCCAGGACTACACAGGGGTCTCTCGTCTCAAAAAACAAAACATAAGTAGATTCATCCATCTATTGTAAGAAATGTAGTACTCTGATGGTGGATGCTGATAACGGGAGAGTCGACACAAAATTCGAGCCACCACTTTGTGTACTAAGCTAAGAAGTTGACATAGATATTTGATTTAATCTTCTGAAGAGATAGACATTATCACCATACTTTAGAGGTGTGGGAATGAGGACCCTGAGAAGCCTAGTAACTTCCAGAATGCCCAGTGCAGCCAGGTCTGATTCAGCTTGTCACCTCCTCAGGGTCAGGGCGGGATGAGTCTAGCACACAGGGACCCTGGTTTCTTCCTCCCTGCCATAGTTAGGAGGCACTTGTTTTTGACCCTCTGACATTAGTGAGTGACTCACATGGTATGTAGATGTGCGTGGCCCAGTTGCCTCGCTCATGAGGAAAGGTTCTGATGCGTCCTCCGTGTTTTGTACTGTCGTCCTCAGGCCCCTCCTCTGTGCTAGAGAACATGCTCAACACACTGTCAGGTACTGGGAACCTCTGAGTGGGGAGGGAGTTCTGGCCACTGCAAAAGAAGAAAGAACAAGCATTGTCTCCCTTTGCAAATACAACACAGTGATTCTTTCTATAGCAGCCTTGCCCTGTAGTATAGACTGGCCTAAAACTTGATCCTCCTCCCTCAGCCACAGTGGTTGAGTGTAGACCTCCAGTCAGGTGTTTGATTTCTACAGAGCCATAACTCTCTAGAACTATTCTCTAGAATTACTTAAGTAATTAATATTTCCTTGTAAAGCGTATTTCTATTTGCTAGAGCTTTTGTGCAACGAACTATCGACATACTGTACTCAGCAAAGACAGGTATATAAGAACCTAAGGCCTTCAAGTATAAGATTCCCACGGGTTTTGCACCAGTCTGCAGTACCCAGTCTCCTCCAGTGTGGCTCCCGGCTGTTCACTGACCAATGAAAAGCTTTGGTTATTATTGCATTGTGTTCAAATGAGGAAACAGATCTTGGAAGAAACATGCTTGCACACCAAGGGAGAAAAATGCACGGGACTAGAGCTGGACTTGAACCCGTGTCCTCACTCCCAACCTTGCCTTAGCCAAGGGTGTGCCTGTGTGCCATTTTGGGGCTTTGTCCAGGGTGTGCTCTGAATCCTCCTTTCCCTCGACGTCCCATTTCCCGGGGAACCGACGCACCCTCCCGGGCATCCCGGAGGCTCGGATCCCACCAAGGTTTCCAAAGAATCGCGCCCTCGCGATAGAAACTTCCTCGCTCCTCACCAACGGCGGCCCCCCGACCCGGGCTTGCTCCGCCCTTCGGCGGCGGCCTCGGCTTCATCCTCCGAGCCGCTGCTGCTGTAGCCCACCAGGGGCGCCGCGCTCATGGGGTCTCGACCACAGGCGGAATACCCGGCCAACCTAGGCCAGCGACCCGAGTTCCGCTGAGCCGGAAGTGCTCGCTGGGGCGGGACCTAGGGTAGCTCCACCTCTGGGCGGGGCCTTGCGGCGGAGGGGGCGGAGCCCAGGGGACTACCGCAAACTGCGCCCGGCGGCTACGCGGTAAGTGCTGCAGGCGGTCTTGGGGAGCGCTCGGTCGCCCTAGTGCTCCGGTGCGGGTCCGCCTGTCAGACCTGCACAAAGTCAGAGCCCCAGGGTCCCTCCTGAGAGCGAGCTGAGCGGCACGTCAGCTGCAGAAGACCGGAGCGTCGGGTGGGACGGACTGTGGCCAGCAGGGGCAGGGCTGGGGCTGGCTGGACCCGGCTGTGTAGGCTTCGGTGAGCGGATCCCGAGGCTCCTGCTCCGCCCCTTGTACCCGCAGGCTCGGGCCGGCCGGGCCGCGGGTCCCCGGCAGGGGGCGGCCTCGCACCGTTCCTGGGGCTCCTCCGCAGCCGCCGCCCGGGCCGCGGCACCTCCCCCGGCCCCGCCTCCCCGGCCTCGCGCCGCCCGCCAGTCCGCCGGTCTCTGCAGGACCGTAGGTCTGTCTGCTCCCTCTTCCGTCCGCTGCCCGGGTCCCGCTAGCCCGAGTGCGCGAGTCGATTCGTCGGTTCCGGCCGCCACAAACCAGTCTCCCGCCCCCGGGCCGCCCGCTTTTGCTACGCGAGGCCGCGGATTGGCAGGGCGCGTAGGCCGCGGCGCGGCGGATGGAGCCGGAATAAAGAGGCAGCCGAGAAAGCAGCTGGTCTCTGCTCGCCCCGCGCCTGTCCCCACGGGCGGCCTGGAGCAGGTGAGCGGCAGGGCACCCGGGGCTGCATCTGGGGGCTACTCCAGTGCCCACCGCACCTCGGGAGATCCCCCTGAGCTCTGGGGCGGCCCAGGCCAGGCCTGGAAGCACGGTTTGAGGCTCTGGGGCCTTCTTCGGTCTGAGCCACCCTTTCTTGGGTCCCAGCGGCTGGGCCATCCAGAGCAAGAGCTGACAGGAGGCAGCCCAGCTGGGCCTGATGGGAGGTGACCAGCTTTCATTCAGTTACCCGGAGAGGAAGGGCTGGGGTGGGGCGCAAGTAGGGGATTCTCCTTGCCTTTCATCCCCTCCCCATTTCTCTACTGCCCTATGCGGGAGTGATCTGAGTGTGTTCCTGGCTTCACCTTCCTGGAGAAGGGTCAGGGTAGACAGTGGGGTTGCTCTGGGAGGTGGGGAGTAGGGGTGGCCGCTAGGGCTGACAGCCATTCATACCAGGAAAACACACACACACACACACACACACACACACACTCACTCACTCACTCACTCACTCACTCTCTCTCTCTTGGATTAGACCAGGCACGAGTTCAGAGCAATCCACCTCTCTTCTCTACCTGTGAGATGCTTTATCCTCTATAACTCAGGCGAACAGTACACTTTATTACATTGTGTTCCTTAGAGAGATGACTAGAGTACAGAAGTTCATATTGGAGGATTTCCACTCTGGGTGGGTCTATGAACCTGTCATTTAACCCTCCTTGTCAGGGGTTCAGGTCTCTGCAAGGCCACTCATTCTGTTATAGCTAGAGTTGCATGTGCCCTGGGAAAGCCTTCAAATGCAGGTGAAGAGGAGCATGGACCAGTTCCTTGAAGGAGAGGATTTGTAGGTGGTCCTTAATACTGCTGCCTTAATATTGGCTTCTAGAGTCCATTTGCCTTAGGACTGGTGCCGTGGGGATGTGGCTTTATTTTGCTAGGAGGCTTCTCTGGTCTCTAAGCAGTGGTGTCCTCATGTTAATGTGAGAGGGGCTGGAAGGCCTTAGGGACAGGTCACCCCAGACCCTGTGAGACATCTGACTGGAAACTGGAGGGGATTTGTGGAGGCTTATGTGCCCTGCCCCCTTCCCCTTTGCAAGGAGGAGTGGAGCTGCCACCAGATTTCTTTGATAACATGTGAAGGGAGCAGGTTTCCAGCCCTGAGCATCTCCCTCCCCTAAGGTAGCTTCTGTCTGTGCAGTGAGTGTGGGCAGCACAGGAAAAGATAAGGGAAGGGCCACTTGTTCCTGTCTCAAGTTCACTGTGTCTCTCTTCCCTACAGAACCGATTACTGGGGAAGGCAGAGCCTTCTTGGCATTGCTGGGACCCTGTCTCGAAGAGCCCCCTGCCCTGTAAACACTGACTTGTAGGCTATCTTCTTGGCTAATGACAAGGGCTATCTGACCAGTCCTCCTCTGTGCCTTGTGTGAGGTTCGTGCCTGTCCCTGAGACCGGTAACTTCTCTCTCAGGGTTGGGTTCACCTTAAGCGGGAAACTGAAGCCATTACTGTCCAAACCCAGTTTCATCTTCCCAAGCATGTCGGAAAGCTGGCAGCAGCCACCACAGACGCAGCCACAGCAGCCACAGCCACCACAGCCTCAGCACCATGCAGAGCCACCACCAGCCCTGGCTGAACACACACTGCCCCCAGGCACTGCTGAGAACCCGCTAGGCTGTGCTGTGTACGGCATACTTCTGCAACCTGATCCTGGCCTGCAGCCCCCACAGCATGCACCCCTGCAAGCAGGGGAGCCAGGCCCCAAATGTGGTGTGTGTGGCCATGACCTGGCACACCTCTCCAGCCCGCACGAGCATCAGTGTCTGGCAGGCCATGACCGCTCATTTCAGTGCACACAGTGTCTGAAGATATTCCATCAGGCCACCGACCTGCTGGAACACCAGTGTGTGCAGGCGGAACAGAAGCCTTTTGTCTGCGGTGTCTGCAAAATGGGCTTCTCACTGCTCACCTCGCTGGCCCAACACCACAGCTCCCACACTGGCATGGTCAAGTGCTCTATCTGTGATAAGACCTACAAGCCAGCTGAGGCTGCTGAACCAGCCACCACTACTGCCCCATCACTGCCCCCAGCACCTCCATCCACTAATGTTGCCCCTGCCGAACAACCCGAAAAGCCCTATAGCTGCACCATCTGCCAGAAACCCTTCAAGCACCTGTCTGAGCTCTCCCGGCACGAGCGGATCCACACGGGAGAGAAGCCGTACAAGTGCACACTGTGTGACAAGAGCTTCAGTCAGTCCTCCCACTTGGTGCACCACAAGCGCACACACAGCTCCGAGCGGCCCTACAAGTGCGCTGTCTGTGAGAAGACCTTCAAGCACCGCTCCCACCTGGTGCGCCACATGTATGCGCATTCAGGCGAGCACCACCTGTTCCGCTGCAACGTGTGTGAGCTACACTTCAAAGAGTCCTCGGAGTTGTTGCAACACCCTTGTACCCCGAGCGGTGAGCGGCCTTTTCGCTGCAGCGAGTGCCAGAAGGCCTTCAAGAGGCCATCAGACCTGCGGCAGCATGAGCGCACTCACAGTGCAGAGCGGCCCTTCAAGTGTGACCTGTGCCCCATGGGCTTCAAGCAGCAGTATGCCCTGATGCGTCACCGACGCACACACAAGACGGAGGAACCTTTCAAGTGTGGCCTGTGTGAGAAGGGCTTCGGGCAGCCCAGCCACCTGCTCTACCACCAGCATGTGCACACCCTGGAGACTCTCTTCAAGTGCCCTGTGTGCCAGAAGGGCTTCGACCAATCTGCTGAGCTGCTGCGGCACAAGTGCCTGCCAAGCACCACAGAGCGACCCTTCAAATGCCCAGTGTGCAACAAGGCCTACAAGCGGGCGTCTGCCCTGCAGAAGCACCAGCTGTCGCATTGCGCTGCTGCGGAGAAGCCTCTGCGCTGCACCCTGTGTGAGCGCCGCTTTTTCTCCTCCTCAGAGTTCGTGCAGCACCGCTGCGACCCGGCCCGGGAAAAACCACTCAAGTGCCCGGACTGTGAGAAGCGCTTCAAGTACGCTTCAGACCTGCAGCGTCACCGGCGGGTGCACACAGGGGAGAAGCCCTACAAGTGCCCCAACTGTGATAAAGCCTTCAAGCAGCGCGAGCATCTCAACAAGCACCAGGGCGTGCACGCCCGTGAGCAGCAGTTCAAATGTGTGTGGTGTGGCGAACGCTTCCTGGATGTGGCACTGCTCCAGGAGCACAGTGCCCAGCACAGCGCTGCTGCTGCAGCTGCAGAGGGCGCCTACCAGGTGGCAGCCTGCCTGCCCTAAGGCCCTGGGGCCACCACCTGTCCTGTCTACTCTCGCCTGCTTGCAGCTGGATGGCAGCAAGCCTGTCAAACAGCTCCTTCCTCAGGAGTGAGGACCAAAGGGTTCTGGGCAGGTAGAGGGTGTGCATGTTCAGTACTCCTAACACCGGCCAGGCCATCGGAGTAGCCAAACTGCTGTGGCCAGACCAGATTCCACTAACCTCTTCCCTATGACAGGACTTGCTTTCTCAGAGCCTGCTGCCCCCCTTATCTATAGAGAACTTGAATCCCACCTGTAGTGAGGTGCCTCTCTGCCCCAGGTATGAGGGATGCCAATCCAACCTTCCCAAATTGTTCAGCCTAGTTAGAATCCCAGGTGGCTTGGGAAGAAGGAAGTAGGGTTTCTCCTCAAATTGCTTTTTTTTTTTTTTTGGTGAGGTAGGTGGGGAGTCCAGCTTTGTTGCGGTTCTGGAGACTTAAGATTATAGACCATGAGCTACAGTCCTCTGTCTGCCTAACTAGGATGAATGTGCCCCCAACCCTAAGTTTCTGATAGTTGAGCTATGTAGGATAGGAGTATTTGGGCAGAGAGCGTTTGGAGACTAGGGGCCCAGTTAGAGTGGGGGAAGCAGAAACATTTCATGACACACTCAGGTTAGCCAATACTGTCCACAGGGAAACAAACAGCCTGCATGCTGAGGGCAATCCTGAGTCTGTGGAAGCCCCCTTCTTCCTGTGAGTAGTTCTAAGCTTCAGGGGATGTGCCCTTAGCAGAGCTGCTGTTGTAGAAGGGGAAGCTGTTAGTCCTCCTTACCCCCTGCCTCAGCCCTGAGATGGGCAGGAAGGAGGGCCAAGGCCATGATTTCCCCAGCAGTTATTAACAGGTCCCTTCTTCCTAAGTTGTGCAAACCAAAGTGTCTGGGGCTCAGAGTCATAGCTTCAGTTTGT